TACTTCCAATAAACCAAACATTTTCAATGTTTCACAACCTAAGACATATATAAAAGCTCTTAAGTTTAACAATTGTTCAAAATTTAATTACAGAATTACATATCAACAAACAAGTCCGGATATTTTTCGCGGACTTCCAACTCACGTTCCCAAGTGGCTTCCTCCACTCCGTGATGTTTCCACAAGACTTTCACCAAAGGAATGGTCTTGCCACGCAGGACCTGATCCCGCCTATCCAAGACCCGAACCGGTCTCTCCTCATACGAGGCATCCTCATCTACCTCTAAATCAGTCCAATCCAACACACGTGAAGGATCATACTCGTATTTTTGGAGTGTACATATATGAAACACGTCATGAACATCAAAAAGTTGGGGCAGCTAGGCCAAATGACTAACTACCTCCCCCAATCAGGTCTAGAATCTCAAAGGGCCTAATGAACCTAGAAGATAACTTTTCACTCTTCTCAAACCTCATCAAACCCTGTCTTGGTGAGATTTTAAGAAACACATGATCTACACCTCAAAAGACAAGGGTCTCCTCCTTCGATCAGCATAGCTCTTCTGTCCACGAGGAATTGGCCGAAGCTGGAGGAGGGTTGGCAAATACGTCGGTGTCGGAGCCTTGGCCGAGGTGTTCGCAGGCAGACTTCCAGCCTGCTTTGAAGTAGATGTCTTGCGTTGCAAAGACCTGCTTCTTGTAGCTCTCCTCGGCCTCGTTGAAGCCAGCGGTGTTTGCAGCCCGGCAAGCTTTCCTCTTCGACTTCTTTAGAGTGTCCACCTCGGCTTGGAGCTCATCTCGTTTTTTCTCGGCCGCATCCAGCTGGCCGAGCAGTCTGTTATTGTCGGAGTTGACCATTTCAAGCGAAGACTTAGCCCGGCCGAGCTCGGCTTGAAGGCTTTCAACCTGGCTGGCTGTGTCGTTGGCTTTCTGCCTAAGCCGGTGGATGCGCTCCAAAACCAAGTGTTGTTTTTGAATGGCCTGCACAAAGAAGCAAAGTTGATCAAAAAGGAGACCGAGCAGAAAGAGAACCGAGCAAACACTTGGGAAATTTTTAAAAGGAACATCAACTTACCCTGGCCATAGACTTCACTGACGACTTGACCAACCGAGTGTCAGGAACGTGGTCGTTGCCGACCACGTCGCTCGGTAGTAGCAGAGCTTTTGACAGATCAAAGGTGAGCAGATGCTTTTTATCAGCCTTGATCGAAGCCGTCGCCGGGATGTCTTGACCCCGGTGCTTCAAATGTGGGCGCCAGGCCGGCACTGGGGCGGGGGCGTCTGTTGGATGCTCGGTGGTAAGCTCGGTGACTAGCTCGGCGGACGGGTCTGTCCGAGCTCTTTTACCGGCACGTCGTGCAGAGGGTTCTCGGCTGGATTGCCCGGCGGATGGAGTGGCAAGGGCGACCACGGCGCCACTGGATTGACCGGTGGCTGGCGACCGAGTTACTACGCTCGGCACCTCGGCGGATGTGGCGGTGAGCAAGTTCTTGATTCTGCTGCGCTTGGCCATTTCTTGTTCCTCGGTCAAGCGAATGAGCGGCACGTCAGGAAGGGAAGGATCTGGAGGCGGCGAAGGAGCGCGAAGGAAGTCAGTTACTCTACTCCGGCGCGGAGCAGAATACCTGTATGTCGGTGTATAGCCAAGCAAATCGTTGCAATCTCGGTGACGGTACCTAAGCACGGTCCGAATTGCTTCGACGTTGGGGAACTGATAGTTGGCTTGCAAGGCTTGGATTGCTGCAAAACAAACAGGAAAACCTGGTTAGTTACAAAGTAAAGAATTGAGCTAACCGAGCTAGTTTGAGTGGCTTACATGAAGAACCGAAGTCCTTGTTTATGAACCAGCCCGGCACCTCGGCTGTTTCGTAATTGCCCGACACCCAGAAAAAATCATCGTCGTGAAGATCTTTATCCGGGGTGCCAGTCACAATCTTTTCTTTGCCCGGTCTGATTTTCAAGTAATAAGCCAAACCGTCCCCGGTATGGCCCATTGTGTATTGCCTTAATATCTCGGCTAGACCCAAGTTGGTGCCTAGCCGATTGTTCAACTAGTGAACGCCGTTGATTATTCTATAGGTATTGGTTGACACTTGGGTGAGTGCCAGCCCGGTGCGGCAAAGGAACTCGGTTATAAGAGGGTTGAGCGGGAAACGGAGGCCCCCTTCAACGATTGAGAGCACGGTGAAGGGGCATTGGTCAACTCTTCCCCAGGGTGTGGTCTCCTCTTCAGCCAGTTCGAGATGAACATCGGCCGGAATGCCGTAATCCTCTCTGAAAGCAGCTAGCGCGGCCGGAGTATCCACTAGGAAGCGGAATTTCCCCATTTGTGGCCGGCTTAGTGTATCCCGGCTGAGGGGTTTGGCACTGGTTATTGGATGCTGCTCGGTCCTGAGAGCCTCAGGAATGACAGTGGTCCCCTTGGACTCTGCAGGAAAAGGATGGCAAGTGTTAAGTGTTAGCGCGGTCGCGCAAAAGGAGCTGGATTTTAGCTCGGTCATTAAGGGTGCCAAACCACCTCGGTTGTCTATTCTATCTAAGGAGCCCGGTCGCCCAAGCAGACCAGATGTTAGCCCGGTTGAGCGACCAAGTCCTTTTGATTATCTCGGTTTTTGCTGGGTTTGAGACAAACATGTTATTTGCTCGGTCAGGTTGGTTTTTTGGATCAAAAGAAGACCAGGAGCCCGGTTCGCTCCAGTTCTTCAGTGTTCTTCAGGAAGAAGAAGAACAACAAGAACAGAGGGAGGTTTAGTACGGATTCTACGACCTATGCCCTAATAGCTATGTTTTTGTGCCCTAATGTGTGTAATAAGAAAGAAAATAGCAACCAAATGGAGGAAGGAAGACTCACCAGTGAAGGGCAGGGTTGAGTCCCGCGAGCACAAAGAATGGCAGACGAGTCAATGGCAAGAATGCTAGAGCTCCGGAGTTGAGAGACGAAATAGCAGTAGGAAGAAATGGCTTGAGGGGGGTGATGTATATGTAAGGAAGAAAGGCCGCCCAAATTCAAAAATCTGGCAAAAACGGCGGGTTGGCTGCCCGATGACCAATGGCAGCCCGCCACGTGTCCCCATTTACGGCGACGTCAGGACTGAAGCGATGGGTTGAAGTGTCGAAGAGCCAACCGAGGTACTTTCGAAGGAACAGATGTCAGCCGAGAAGTATAACCGGGCAGGTTTGTGGGCAATGAGGTTAACTAGCTCGGTTCCCCTTTGGAATTTTGGAGGATGGGGAAGTGTTATCTCGGTCGAAGAGAATAATCCCAGTCACGCTTTCGCGGACGGAATTAAGGGGCAATTGAGAGGGTGATTTATGATCAGGAGTTGGGCCGAGGTAACGGCCGAGCAGATTGAGAGCCCAACGGTGCATGGGGCCGAGATGATTGACCATCCGCCAGGAAATGGGCTGCCAGAACCTAGGCCGGGTAGAACTTGGGCCAAGCGTGAGCCGCCCCGGCCCAAGAAGGAGCTCGGCTAGACAGCGCTTGGTTGGACCGAGCTGCCCGATCAGGGGATGGCTGAAGCTAGACAAGCTGAGTGACCGGCACCCGGTAAGGCGTGGTCAACCGAGGAGACTGTTTGACCGGCAGGAAGGCCTACCAAAGGAGGTACCCAGGCTAGGCTTTGCCAGGATGCCGCCTAGCTCGGTCCTCCATGTGTTTATCCGGTTAAGCGCATGGGTATGAAGCATGGCATGGCCGTGGTAGAGCAGCTCGGCTGCCGAGCTCCAGCTGTGAAGTCAGGCAGTTGAGATTAGGTGATGTTTAGCAAGGTCTATGCTGACAGATGGGATAGCAGAGCCACGCGTCAGGAGATGACTGGGAGTGGGTAAGGGGCTCAGAAGGTATATAAGCTTGTCTGCGCCTCCCATACGGGACACACGAACATCTCTGTAAGGAATTCTTACACTCAAACACTCTCTCCCTTTTCTCTATCCATCCTAAGGTGTGTGCTAACTTGATCGTCGGAGGGTTTTTCCGGCCACACACCGCTGGGTAGCTCACCGTTACTTGCTCGCAGGTGATCGGACATCGACGGAGCTCGGAAGAAAGGAGTACGGGCTTGCCGGAATATTTGCTCCCCGTACAGATACTTTTTCCAAGTTGCTATGAAATTCCTTGAACTTTTTTAAGGATTCAGACTTATGTTTCATTAGGTACAAATAACCATACCTAGAATAATCATCGGTGAATGTAATGAAATAGTAAAAACCACCTCTTGCCATGTGATTTATTGGACCACAAACGTCTGTGTGTATTAGTCCCAAAACTTCTGTGGCTCTAATTCCTTTTCCCAAAAATGGAATTTTAGACATTTTTCCTTGCAAGCACGGCTCACAAATTGGATAGGGCTCAATTTTCAAAATATCTAAAGGCCCATCCTTGACCAATCTATTTAGACGTTCTAAATTGATATGACCAAGTTTCAAGTGCCATATATAAGTTTGATTAACATCTCTTTTTCTTTTAAGGGGTAACATACCAGTGGATGTATCATTCTCAACACAATTAACAGAATTATCAATAGGACTAATAAAGTAAAGACCATCTATTAAAATGCCAGAAACCACAAATTTATTATTGTGCTTAATAACAACTTTTGAAGAAAAGGAAAAACAATATCCCAACGAAATTAACTTTGAAACAGAAATTAAATTTCTACGGATGTCTGGCACAAATAGACAATCTTCTAAAACTAGAGTTCTATTAAATGATAATTCCAAATAAAAAATTCCTATGGAAACTGCAGCAACTATTGCACTTGTTCCCAACTTTATTAGCATCTCCCCTTTATTAAGCTTTCTGGTCTCCTTGAACCCCTTCTGAAGGTTTGTCCTTTTTCAGTGTTGCCAAATACTGACGGCAGTTTCTCTTCCAATGGCCAAGCTTTCCACAATGGAAACAATTTCCTTTGCTTTTTCTTCTTATCTATGCCCTTTTTAAAAACACCTAGTGTTTTTCCAGTGAATTTGGAGCCCATAGGTTTCTTATTAAAATTGTTCTAGCCCTTAGGCTTGAATTTTCTAGGACCTTCCTTCTCACCCATCATCACAGTGGGTTGGCTCTTTTTAATAAGATCCTCTGCTGCTTGCAACATATTGAGCAGCTCTGATGGTGCAACAATCATCTTATTCATATTGTAATTTAAAATAAACTGATTATAAGAATCTGGTAAAGATGAAAGTATCGCATCAATTTTAGTTTCACCATCAATATCTGCACCCAAAGTTTCCAGTATGTTAATGAAAGATATCATTTTTAGAACATGTTCTCGTACTGGAGTACCTTCCACCATTTTAGTGGACATCAAACCTTTCATGGCTGCTTGGCGTGCACTTCTGCTTTGTTCTCCAAACATTTCTTTCAAGTTAACCATCATGTCTTTTGCAGTAGGAACATCCTTATGCTGCTTTTGCAACACATTGGTCATTGAGGCCAATATGTAGCATTTTGCAACATCATCTGCCTCATGCCACTTCCCAACAGCCTCACGTTGTTCATCAGTGGCATCAGCCTCAGGAAGCGCAGGTGGATCAGTAGTTAGGACATGGTTTAGTTTTTCAGCAGTGAGGACAATTGTTAAATATCTCTTCCAGTTCACATAGTTTGATCCAGTCAAACGATTATCATCAAGAATTTTGGACAAAGGATTAAAGTTGGTCATATTGAACTGCATATATTAAAAATTAAAAAAAATAAATAAATAAAAACATGTGCCAGAAGAATATAAGTACTGCATTGTATATAAATCCATAGGATGCGGGATTTTGAATCTCCTATGGTAATGCTCACTAGAATTTTTATTCAAACAATTTATAACCCCACAAATATAACATTTATATTTAAAACATTCATAGTGAGCATTGGGAAACCAATCCTGCATGTACAAAAATTTCTTTTGAAATAAGTGAACATACCTTGTGTACGGGGAAGAAATAATTTTCCTCGTATAATCCTGTTGACTAAGTCCACGCTCCTCCGTACGACATCGCTTCGTCACCTGAAAACACAAACGTGAGCTAGTCGGCGGGTGTGTGCCGGAAACCTCTCCGATGCCTAAGTCAGAAAACTTGACAAATAGACAAAGCTCAATGTAATCAGGAAGCAAAATTGTATGTTGTGTTATGTTACCTCCTCCAAGGTGATGTTTTGTGAGCTTTTTATAAGTTTCGTGTGGCACAATCCTAGTAGGACTTTTATTCCTCCATGCAGAGTCCTCCTAGGATTCATACTCCTAAGGATAATGCTTATCCTTTTACACCCCCCGCACTGCTTAAACCAAGTGGGATGGTTTTCATCATGGCCGAACTGCCATACGAGCGAGATAAACCTGGCTATACCGAGCCACAGAGTAGGCCGTACTAACAGTAGTTCGGTTCTTCTTCTTGCTACACCATATTTCGGTTCTCTCATGCACGAACCATGGTGTGTTTGGACCGATCTACCGAGTAGCAACATTCTGACCGACCTACCTAGAATACATCATGACCGGACTGCCTCTGAGACCGGGCTAACTAGAGAAGTTGCACGGACCGAAGTAACTCAACATCTCTTCTGAACCGGAGTAACTTTATCATTCTCGAACTGGAGTAACTTTATCATTCTCGAACCGGAGTAACTCTTACATTTCTATTGGGCTTTTTTATCCAGTCCTTCGTACTTTGGGCCATAAAATCCAATTTCGCAGGTCGGCCCAATTTTTACCAAAAATTACCCTCTCAATTGCCCCTTAATTCCATCTGTACAACATGATTGGAATACCTGTCTTCCAGCCGAACCGAAGTTTTGTAAGTATTTCCAGCCGAACTAAAATTTCCTTTAGCCTCTCGGCCGAACTTATCTTACTCCGGGCTCTGCTTGTCTGACCGAAACGTCTCTTCAATCACAGTGACTGTAACGCTTCCCATTCTATTCACACGTGGTACGCTCTGATTGACTGAGGACGGCTGTCACGCCGTCTTTCGTACTTCGCGAATTTTGAACAGTCCCGCCCAAATTTTGGGCTTTCTAACAAAAACAATCCCTGAGGCTAGGTCCCTTCACTTTTGCCATTCACTTTCTTCCTTCTCTTCGAGTTCTTCATTTTTCTTGCAACTGTGAAGTATACTTCGTGTGTGCCTCCTTTACTGTTGCCGCTTCCATCTGGATCTTCTTCAATCTGTTAAGCAATCCTATCCTTCTTGCTCTGTCCATCTGTATATTTTGTTTTGTATGTTTTTTGCAAACATTTTGTCCATTTCTGGTTCGCTTCTGTACTTTTATGAAAAAACATTAGCAGAACCCATGCGTGTATGAACTTCTGTAGAAAACTAGTCTTAGATCCAAAATTATGTAGCAACCGAACTAGGATACTGTTTGTCCTATATAGGTAGATCACTTTAGTCAATAACCGAACTAGAACTTGAATAAATAACAAAAGTTTCAATGAGTCACCAACTCCTGATTCACTTTAGCCGAAATAAGATCACCGAGGTTTGAACATATTAAACTAGGAACCTCGGTTTTCAACCGAACTAAGCTTTCGGGGCTAAGCCAGCTTTCTTAGTTTGTAAACCGAACTCAGAAAGCTGCCCCTAGAGGCTCAACCGAAGTAACTTTATTCATACTTCAACCGATTTAGGCCTTTGGGGCTAAACCAGCTTTCTTAGTTTTTTAGACCGAACTCAGAAAGCTGCCCCTAGACGATGAACCGGTCTAACGAGCAACCTGCTCAAACCGAGCTACCAAACCTTTTGACGAACCGAGGTAGAACCAGTTTACGAGGCCGAAGTAGGGCTCTTATACCTTGCTTTTAATTTGTAGCACGGTCCAATGATCAGTGCTTAACCCCTTTGTTTTCTACTTTGCAGACTTAGGTTGCCCAGGCACATCTTCGTGCGCTCAACCGTGCTACTGAGCACAATTTTTGCACCGATATAACTTATTCGTAAATTATACATCAGATGGGTAAGTATAGGTATCTAGTCGAGACCTCTGGTGGTATGGCCGAATTCCGAAGGGATTATGGCATTCCAGATGATGTACACCTTACCCTAGCCAAGAAGGATATCATACCCTGGGGTGAGGCAGGCTTTGTACCCTTTACCTTGCTTTCAATAATAGAGACCGGACTAAGGTTCCCAGTCCAGCCTTTAATTTGTGAGTTTCTTAGGCAAACCCGACTATGCCCAACCCAGCTATCCACCAATACATACCGGATAATAATGGGTATAGCCGAGCTAAACCACCAAGCAGGCCTGAACCTCGGTTTAGCCGAAATCTTCCACCAGTACTCCATAGGTTCCAAAGACGATGGCTGGGTTTATTACTTTAGGATAAGCCGCCGTAGAGAAAAGATAATAAAAGATACGCCGGATAAGGATGTAAATGATGATGACTTTTTTTGGGTATCGGGCAATTTTGAAGATCAGCAAGCCCCAATCCCAGGCCGAAGTATAAACTGGAAAAAAGGAGAACCTGGTATAGTTACTTCGGTTTCATACATGTTTTTCTTTTACTTTGGTTTCAGATGTCATAGCCGATCTAACAGTTGCATCCTTTTTGCAGACTCAGCTCATCTTGCTTCCTTGTATAGTTACCCAAATCTGAACATACTCCGAGCCGCATTACGGTTTAAAGAAAGGAGTTGGGCTAAGCTTCTAAACTTTGAGCCGACCTACAGATATAGCGGTCACCGAAAAGCCAGAGTGACCGATTTCCTTCTTGAAGACGCTCCAGAACCGGACCCAACCTTGCCCGAAATAAGACTTGTCCCACTAACCGCTGAAGAAGAGATGGCAAAGAAAAGCAGAGTCAGGGCCCTTCTGACCGAAACAACTAGGCCCGAAGTAACGCCACCCAGCCAATCGCGGCCTGCTGTTGTGGCCCTCCCTTCTCAACAGCCGTCCTCTTCCTGCCGAACCAAGCGTGCCAGAACAGCCGAAACCGAACAAGTTTTGGTTGATGAAGAACCTGCTCTTCCGCCGAGCTTACCACCAAGCCCCCAAACAGAGCCTTCTGACCGAACTATCGGCAGCTGGGCACCAAAACTAACTTTCAACGACCGAGACATCCGAGATACAGACTCGGTTGTTGCTGAGAAAGACCACCTGTTGGCCATTAATCTAGCCAAGAGTGTGTGTCTGCCCAAAGACATGGAGCACCACCAGAAACAGTTAAACACCGAACTGAAGGCCATCCGGTCTACGACTAAATCCATGATTCTGGTAAGCAACTTCGGTCGTTTTGCTGTCTACTTTCTTTTTTCAACTTCTACTTCGGCTTAAAGGGAAATCTTTGCTTTGTCAGGCCCTTCAGAAAAACCAAATCACTCATAAGAAAGTACTGGAGCTTAGGAAAGTAACCAGGCAAGCAACGGCAGAAGCTGAGGCAAAAGCGGCCGAGTTGGAGGAGGCCAGAAAGGAAATGGCCGACCTACGGGGTGAGGTCGGCAGACTGACCGGAATGGTTAGTTCGGCCGAAGCTGAAAAGCAGAAAGCTGCCATTGCTCTGAAAGACAAGTACCTGCGCGAGCTGGTGAAGCTGGAAAGGAAGAAAGATGTCGAAATATCAGAGGCTAAGGAGAGTGCCAAAGAGGCCGAAAAGAGAGGCTTCAAGAAGGCGGAAGATTTATACGTCCAACAATGTGAGGCCGCCAAGGAGCTGTTCTTTAAGTGCGGCTGGAGGGGAGCCGTTGAGAAGCTCGGTCATGATCCTCAGACCGAGGTTTTCAACCCTCCAGCCTACTTCATACCGAACTCCCTCATGGAATACGCCAATGCCATGCAACAGCAGTTTCTTGAGGGCTCAAACTCTGCCCCTGAGGATACTCCGGTTGCGAATGTAGATCAGGTAGTTCGGTCGGAGCCCACGGTGGAAGATCTAACTATTGAACAACCAAGTGAAGCCGTGGTTCCGACCGAAACCACTCTTGCGACTGAAAACGAGCTTCTGCCAGAAACCGGTCTTCCAGTTGATGCCGATGCTGCCTTTGACGCCGAAATTGAAGATCTTTTTTCTTGATTTTGTACTTTTTCTCTTTCTGTTGCTTTTTATCTTTGTAACTGAACTATGCCCCTTCTTTGTAATGGCTTTTCAATGAATGAATGAATGAAAAATTTTGCTTGAACTCTTATTCCGGTTTTGATTCGTGTGCTTGCACTTGTAATGTCTTCTATTACTCCAACTGTTTTTTCGGTTTTAGCTGGTTAAACTATGCTTACAAGCTAACCACTCCTTAGTCGATATATTTACTTCGGCTGAGGAGTACAAAGAGTTTGTTTAATTCAGCCAATCCAATTTCAGCCATACCCTTACTTCGGCTGATGAGAAACAAGAGTTGGTTTATTCCAGCCAACAACTCTTCAGCCATACCCTTACTTCGGCTGAAGAGTAACAGGAGTTGGTTTATTCCAGCCAACCACTCTTCAGCCACACCCTTACTTCGGCTGAAGAGTAACAAGAGTTGGTTTATTCCAGCCAACCACTCTTCAGCCATACCCTTACTTCGGCTGAAGAGTAACAAGAGTTGGTTTATTCCAGCTAACCACTCTTCAGCCATACCCTTACATCGGCTGAAGAGTAACAAGAGTTGGTTTATTTCAGCCAACCCTCTAAGTTAGTTTTTCCAGCTAACTTAGAATAATGTTTGGTTATTCCGACCAAATGTCCTGCAGCCTGGATCCTTATCCTGGGCTTAGGAAGGGTGTTGGTTTATTCCAGCCAACCTCTAAGTTAGTTTTTCCAGCTAACTTAGAATAACGTTTGGTTATTCCGACCAAATATCCTGCAGCCTGGATCCTTATCCTGGGCTTAGGAAGGGTGTTGGTTTATTCCAGCCAACCTCTAAGTTAGTTTTTCCAGCTGACTTAGAATAAAGTGCTTGCAATGTACCTAATC